GTAAAGGATGACCAAGATAAGACTGTATTTGTGCTGTGAATAGAAACCCTTTCAGATATAGAGTGCTTTGAGTGAACTTTCTTCCATCAGTAACTCAACCATAGTGTTTTGCTCATCCGTCTACCTTACATAACCTCTTATCTATTGCAGGACACTATAGCGAGTTTGCGCCCAGGGAGCAATGGTCAAAAGAAAGGGTTCACCCCTGACAGGATGCCACATACACACACATTGTACTTCAACCCCCCCCCCCCAATTTACAACTGTGTAACTAATGCACCCATTGGCATCTACACCTTTATCCTGCCAAGCTGTTTCTTATCTTGATAGAAGTAAAACGAGAATGATGAACTTCTCAGCCAGATAATGTTTTGCAGCTCTTCTAACTGAACAAGCAGAGTGCTGTGCTAACACTTCACAGGTCATGGGTTCAAAACCCAAATCTCTACTATAAATCACTATGGATAAAAGCATCAGATAAATGATCTGTGATGGTTTTACAGCATCCAAGTGTTGAAGGGTATGGGACACAACTGGAAAGGCAGCCTGGTGCCCTGTGACGTGCCCACCCCTCTCAGGTGACAGTGGGACCTTCACGGCCCTAGAGCAGACCACACTCGCAGAGTGAAAACCCTCAGAGGACCCTTCTTAGAGATTTGAAAAAGCTGCCCCTCTATTGGATCAATATGGGGTTCAAACGTGTGCCTCATCGATAGGGGAAAGGCTGTCACAGTTCCCAGCACAGTCACTGTCCTCAGAGGAGGGAGACTAATCTCATTTCCAGTGAAAGGTTTTGCCCTGCTTGGTGGTACTGTAGTTACAATTATGCTTTTTCAACTTCTCATACTATGCAGACAAGTTAGATCAAAATCTATTTTTCCACCATTACTGAGTATATAATGTCCTTTAAAATTCTATAGGAGCTTTTTCAGAATCCTTTTTGTCGCCAGATAATGGTTTACTAGCAACTGGTTATTTAATTATTGACGTTCTTTTCTTATGAATAGTAGGCTTTTACAATGTTAATTCAGTGAGTTTTTTTCTCTCCCGTTTTCACCATAGACACATGTAAGAAATAAAGCTTCCAACAGATAATCAGAGAAAACCAACCCATTTTCAACACTTAATTACTGGGATCAGAGGTAAAACCATCCAGGTTGTACGGAGCTGCTAGAAGCCACCTCCTTGTGTTTCCGGTCTGTTCTTGGTCCTGTTGCTGCCTGGATTCCTCTCAGTACTAGGGCTTCATTAAGCATCGACAGTCACAGAACAGGGCTGAGGATCAAGCATGGCAGAACACTACCGGTATAGCTGACTGTGACTTATATTTTACTGAGGTTTACGTCGTCATAGAGTCCAAAGTAGACAGTGTTGCTTCTTTCCTGTAGATCCAATATAAATTGCACCTAATGATGCAGAAAATGATTTCTGTATTCCGCAATTCCAATTAGGCCACCAGGTAGCAGCTTAGGTGGGAAGGTTTGACTACTAACCAATCAACGAAAAAAAAAAAAGCCTCTTGGTGAAATATTGTTCATGCAAAGAGAGTTGGTTATTAACCTCTAATAATAACATTAACTAAAAACTTTGAATTAAAAAGTTTCTTTTACAGTTTGTTTTTTGTTTAAAAGACATTTTCCAAGACATAATGTAGGATAATTCCTATAACTTCTTATTCATATTAAAAGGGATGGTTATATCATTTGCAGACTTATATATGCATTATTATTATTATTCATAATCCAAACAGACCACAGGATACTTTGTTAGATGATGTAGATGGTCATCCTCACGTAAGCTTCTATAGCACTTAATGATAATAATGAACTATTTATTTATCATGTTTAATTTTATAATGCTTTTTGCAGATGTTGTTCCAAAAAAAAAAATACCAAATGGATTCTGAATGCATTAAAAATCCTTTTTAAGGAAAGATAAAGGTCAAAAGCCATAGTGGTGTCGTTGTACATGACTAGAACTTTCCCAGAAGGATTTGCATGCAGATATTTAAAGCCTATTAACTCTTGGTAATCAGCACAGTTTCATTACATTAAGAGTCAACTAAATGTTTTTGGCAGAGAGAAAAGGCTTAAGGGATTATTTGACTCTCTCCACTCCCTACCCTTTGCCTGGAGGAAGATGGGGAGGGAGTCTGCACCCAGGATGAGATGTCCAGAGGGCCCACGAGGCAGAAGTTTCCCTGTGTTGATGCTCCAGAAGAGCAGCGTCCTGCTTTAGGGCTGCCAACTCGCAACAACAACAGGGACATCAAAGACCCTGTCATGTTCCCATGGAAAACCTCCATGAAGGAGAGACTCCACAAAACATAAACACAGATGAATCTATTTTCCCCACTTTTTTAGTTACCTGATGCTTTTTATAAAGTCAACACACTTAGCTGTTGACTCAGGTTGCTGTGTCTCATTAGGGTTTAAGTGCCTTAAGCGTTATTGCGGGTTAGGAGTCCAGGTCCTGAAACAACTACAATACCTGCAGTAATTTTTTAATTAGAATATGCAGGTCATAGATACCTGACAACCTGCAGATACCAGTAGAGTCGGGCTAATGTTGTTTATGAAACTGTTAAAATTCTTAATGGCAAAGTAACCATCATGTTAGGCTATGTAACATGAACATGTAGGCAGGATTGGATCTAAGCATAGGCAAGCTAAGCTGCTGCCTAGGGCCCGATTTAAGTCATGAAAAACCATATATACAGTATTATATACATGTCCGGCTGTAGCTATAAGCAGAATATGGAATTGTCTAGGGCCCCCAAAGTACTTGCGTTGGGGAGGAAGTAAATTGATCATCAGTTTTCTTGGTAGAGGGGCTTCGCGAGTAAAGCTTGGCCTTGGTCCCCTGAAAAGGCAGATCTGGTCCTGCATGAGAGTTATACCCGCTGTCCGAATCTGAATGCCTTTAGAGAGGAAGTCGGTCCGCTCATGTGACAGCAGTGAAAGCAGAGCAACGGCGTGTATGTGCCAAGCAGTGGCATCCTTACGCGACCTGCGGAGTGCATCGCGGATCCCGCTAATCACGCCATCTCAAGAGGCAATTTCAGAGAGCATCACAGTCTAAACCGATTAAATTTAAATAGATATGTTTGTAAAACATGTCCTGGGTTGTGTGGCTCTTATGTAAATCATCAGCAAAATGCAATTTACCCATCCAACCACTTACATTTAGTTATAAACTCATTCTGTTCTGTTTCTCAGATTCACCATTATAGGATTTCATTGCAATTTAACATCATATATTTTGAAGCTACGGCATATAAGATTGCATTAAAATTGTGTTACCCTGCAGTTTCAAGACAGGTGTGCTTAAATACAAATATGCTGAAATAGGCTTCTCGCAGAAAATCACACGTGATACATTTTCTCTAGTGATTTTTTTCAATGTTTAGTTCTGTTAGAATTACGATAATATGTAGCAAGTATTTCCACATCGAGACATAAAGGATTTGTGCAGCACATAAATTCTACTCTGAACACAGATACAAATATGAAAACATACATCTCAAGTTGTTTAAAAACAAAATAAAAAAATACGCAAAGGTTCTCAAGTTACATTTGTCAAGTGTTGAAGGGAATGGTGATTTTTGGCAGGAATCCAATTTATGTATGCCGCTATATTTAAATGAAATTAGCTGTGCAAAATTAGCACTAATAACTGTAATATTGGAAGTAATTTAGCCTTCATTATTAAATATTAACTGCTGTATTCGTATTCCGTACGAGAAGGATTACAGGCAACCCTGCTAATTTATAGGGCTGTATATCCTGACTAACCAGCCCCTTCTCCGGTCACACTTAAGTACACTGTGTCTGGGGGCACCGGCCGTCTCGGGGGGAGAGTCTGGTCTCAGGGGTCATTATTGTTGATTCACTTCACCTGTCCCTCATCCATGACTGCAAGTATAAAATGATGTGTTCTGTTCTTTCAAACCCCCATTAACTCTGTCCAGACCCTGACATCTGACCTGTTTCCCTTTACACTTCATCTTGATTCAGTGCCACACTTTTTTCCATTGAAACAACTCTCATTTTTCCTTTTCCTCCCTGCTTTTCCATCCCTGGTAAATCATGAAAAGGGGAAACCCAATTCCCAGAAAACCCATTTTTCCATTCCATTCCATCCCCATGTCACATGATTCTCTTCACCTCCCCCAACCGGAGCACGTCAAACACATATACATTGTCTGGGTGCCGAGTTGAATCTCGCTACATCCATGCCAAAGCGCATTCTAATAGCCCTTGAAGTGTTCCCGGTATCTGAGGAGCCCCGCATTCCTCCTGCAGTGACTGAGCCGAGAACGATACAAAATACACTCATCTGGCAGCGATAACATTTAGGAATGTATCTCTCCATCAGTGGAATGGGAGAATCTCTGGGGATTCCGCTTTCGGAGTGGAGTGTCTCTTATCGATAGGATCCCTGCCGTGGTGTTCGGTTTGTCGCATGCAGGAAACTCGCAGTGAGAACGACACTCGATACACCATCAGTTGCTGGGAGCGGAGCGCGTCTCCGGCTGCAGGAGGCCCAGCTAGGCGCGGGAATGCTTCCTCGAGACATTCTGGGACCTGCCATGCCTGTGTTTATTAAGGTTCCTCTGCAATGGATCCTTCCTTTGTTCAGCATGCACAAGGATTCCATACATAATGGCCCCGTGATTTGCCGTCACGATGCTTTTGACTCGTCTCATGCTTTGCCGTTTTCTCAGCTTTCGACCCCTAAGGTGTTTGTCTGCTAGAGTCTATGTATGAAGGGGCTACAATGAAGGTGTGAGAATTCACTGCTGCCCAAGGTTTACAGTCAGGAGCTAAACGCTAAACCCAAAACACAAGGTAAGATTGGTTCACCTGCGGCATTTCTCCGCAGAACCTATTTCATTTATTAGATATTATTCTGTAGCCTGGGGGGGCATCTTTCTCCGCGCATCTCTGGGCTGATGATTACGAGGACAAGGGCACCTGGAGCCCTGCAAAAGCACTGACCTGGAGCTTGCTGCTGAAACGTCTCAGAAAGGTCCTGCAGGTGTGTGAAGAGCACCAGGCCCCCAGCTCCGAACAGCAGGAGGAACCAGAAGAAACAGGGCAGTTTCATGGCCAGAGTCCTCAGTCTGCGCCTGCCGCACCGAGGATCCGCCGTCTTACATTCCACCCAGGGCATCTCCTGTCAGCCCAGCCGCAGGGACCTGGAAGAAATGGCAGCAGGGTGTCACCTCAGGCAACCGGTCCTCATTTCAATCTGACGTTTCAATCTGACCGCTATTTGGCTTTAAAGAGAAGAAAAGGCCAAGCCCTATGTCCGCGCAAACTGGTGTCTCCTGGCAAACTTTCAGGCTACTGGAACAGCCTTATTGGTTGAATAAAAATCTGAAAACAATAACGATTCACTGCAGAAATCATCATAAGTAATGGTCACGTACCAAGGAGACTTGATATGGCTCAACTGGTTTTTTTATTTTTTAGCAGGGGCGTAGGAACTGGGGAGGGGAGGGAAGGGGGGGGGGATTGGGCGGCTACGCCCCAATATTTAATTTGGCTTCATCCCCACCCAAAAAAAATACACCTTTGCATTTAAATTATTAAGTTGTTTACCTCCCAATATCAAAGTCTCACCTTCGCCCTTGGTTTGAAGTTATGCTACATGTAATTTTTTCAGTTTTTTGCGATTTTTCTCACCATCACGGCGCAGGTGTACAAGGTGTTGCTGAGTTATCTATTCTGGTGGCTCTACTTACTGTATTATCAGGTCATGCCTCCCCATGTTCGTGTTTATATATGGGTAATGGAGCGTTGATTCCGGATATGCCGGATATGGGATGTGTGACAGCATGTGTGCCCTGTCATGGGCTTGGGTAATTTGGACCTGTGCCTTCCGCACACAGTGTTCACCTGCTGACACACACATTCACACAAATACAGTGAGCGATGGAATACTTGAAGTCTTGAGTCTTGAAGATTCTAGTAAATTTGACACTATGGGGATTAACACTTGAATGGCAACTGAAGAGTTCAAGAGAGGCTCATTAGTTCATACAATGTTAACATGAATCAAGAGCAAGGGATGTATACTCTGATGGAGCAGGACCCTTTAAAGCAGGGGTTCTCAAAGTCTACATTCAAAGGTCCAAATCTGAATTTTCACCAATGACAAAGGTCCGGAACTATTGGTAATTACAAAACTTGTTTTTAATAAACATGTATAACAAATCAACATTCATTTTATGAAAAAATAAGGTGCCTTTTGCATTCAAAATACATGAATAACAAGTGCAAAAGTGGCAAAATAATGCCGTTTGACATTTCCACTCTTCACAACTCCAACTGTCTCATTACAAATCAAACAGAATGGCTTCGTGCTGGATTGGGGCAAAATGAACGCATACCTCTCTGTCCAATCATCTTTGAAAACTCTATTTTCTTCGTCAACTTTTCTTTTCCTGGACAATGACATCCTCCACACCCATTCAAACGCTTACTGCGGTGAAGTGTCGCGTTGCGCGGCTCGCGCCCGATTATGTCAAAAGTATACACTCACTGGATGTCATGGCAATTGAATCACGGAGGAAAACTTTAAATATCTCGCCTTCGCTTTAATTTCGGACCATCTCCAAAAAGACATAAAACACTAAACAAATGATTCTGACATGCGTTTATCAAAGTAGGAAATCCAGACTTTTAATCCCTTAAATTACTGCTGTTGAAATATGAAATGGTGGCGGGTCCGGATTGAATTCCCTCCGGGTCCGGATCCGGACCGGAGTCCGGACTTTGAGAAGTGC